TGATCACCTGCCTGACTCCTTCCCTCCATCCTCAGGCAGCCAGCTGGTGATGCAGTCTGCCTCCAGTCCAAGGGCCACTCCATCACCCACACAGCTTTCCAAGTGGAGGGTCTTGTAATTACCCCTTTCTCTCTTAATCTTCACTTCTTCACTCTTTCTTTTAAGCCTCAAACTATGCACATGTGCTTCCTGTCCTAGATACCTGTTGACCTTCTGTCTGCCTGTAGCTATAGCCCCATTTCCTTCTCAGTCAGGTTTCTGGAAAGGTAATATTATACATACACCCTCCGTGTTTCCTCATCTCTTTGTTCCTGAACCCTCTGAAATCTGACTTCCACCCCATCACTTAACTGAAATTTCTTTGACAAAGGGCATCACTGATTTTCAAAACTGATGGGTATTTCTCAATTTTCTGGTATCCCAATTTCTTGACCACACTTGACCCCCAGGACTACTAATGTCTATGGACTCTGTTCTCCTGAGTCCTGGACAAGATCCCTCTGTGCTTTCTCTTAGTCTCCCTCTTGCCTCCCTCTTCTGTGCCTCCTTTTGGTCCCAGGCTCCTTGGCTCACTCTGTGCTCCAATATCAGGTAAAGGCCCATTCTCCATGACGCTTCCCGACCAGAGCTCTCTTCCAGCCCCTCCACCTCCAGCTCTGAGGAATCCTGCCCAGGAAACGATCCTCCACCTGTTCTCTCTCTCCAGCCGGACACCCCCAAGGCTTTGGCAGGAACCTCCAGACTACTATCCTGACCCTTTCTTTTTGATCTCTTCTCCACAGAACAGTCAATACATGAAAAATTCAGGCTGACGCTCCTAGAAGGTCCCCATCACTGCCGTACCGCATCAGCTCTCTACAGCGTGGTTCAAGGTGTACAGTGTTCAAGGCCAGGGCCTTTGCTCATGTGTCCACTCTGCCTCCAATGCTCATCTTACCCTTCTTCAAATGGCAGGTCTCTAACAATTCAGCTCAGGTGTCCTCTCTCCCCAGAGGTTTCCTGGCTGCAGGTTTGACCTTCAAGCACCTTTCCTCTATAGGTGATGCACCTGTCCCACTTACCAACTCCCACATCATACTGAAGGATCAGCTTCTCTCACGACCTATTTCCACAAGAGCAAGGTCTCTGTTTTCTTTTGTCACTGTGTCCCTGCACCCCACACAGGGTAGTTGCTGACCTGACCTGAGCAGTCCCTAAGTCATGCAGTTGGCTTGGTCCTTGGTCATTCTCACTAACATGGCTGTCCAATCCACATGCAGGCTCATTGGCCCTGAGTGGCCCTGGATTCAAGGCACATGCTGACACCTGAAGAGGAAGCTAATGCTGAATTCCAGAAGAAAGGAAAACCTCTCTCTGGGCCTCTGTCTGGGGGACCTTGGGACATGATCTAGGAGTGAGGGGTCATGGACTACCCAGTTCTACCCTATGAACCAGATCTTCTTACACTTCCTCACTGCCTTCTTCCAGTAGGTTCTAGAGAGGAATATAGTAGAAAGAGACTGGAAATTGTCATCAGACCGATGTTTAGGCCCTGACTGGTACTTGGTGGAGCTTAGTACATGCACACCCATTTCCTTTCAGGGTCAATTTAAATAGGTACTAGAGTCAGGAACTCAAGAATACCAACTTTACTGAAAAAGGCAAGGTGAAGCAAATGGATAGGTATGTGTGTATTTGTATGTACACGTGGATGGACTCCCTTATTCCAATCTCCAAAATTATACAGACCCCTGAACACAGTTATAGATAACACTGTGCTCCATGACTGTCCCACCCCAGGGGAACCTGAGGCACCCATGTCCAATCCTAGGAAATGCAGAGAGACTTCAATATTTTTCTAATCTAGCAAATGGGAAAGAAACATCAGGGATATATGCTACTCGACCACCTTGCTGGTTCTCAGTCATCTCTAAAAGATGGGGATAACTGTGTCTACTCCTCTGGGCAACTGTGAAGCAGAAATAAGAATGCTATGCTCTGTCTAGGCCTCATACATGGAAGAGCTCTAGATCACTGACCACACTCCAGGATAGGGGCCTTCCTAATGTTCTTCCCCACTGTGGGAATGGATTCCACCTAAAATCCAGAATAATTTGTGGTGCCATTTCATTATTCTCTCTCAGTTAATATTTGCATAGGTATCTTTCTCTCTTGACTTACCTTACAGGTAGACAAAGCCATTTATCATAAAAGAGGAAATGAATGGGGAGGAGGTCATCAGGAATTGAAACTAATGAATATATTCTGTAAAACTGATTGAACACTGACACTGTGCCAGGAATCTTCTGGGCCTGGGGACTGGAAGACGATGCTCTGACTAGTGGCCTGGAGCTCCCTGGCTAGCCACAGGGGCTACTTCCTAGGCTTGCTGCGTTCAGTGGGTGGAGCCTCACTGCCTTCTCCAGAGGCCCACCCCCACACTAACGGGTGCACTGAGATCCTTAGTCATGGCATTGTCCTGTGGACTAAGAGAGAAGTGACCCAGGAGGTAAAAATCACACTAGTTATTCTAGGTGAGGAGGCGATGAGATAGTATGAGTTTGGCCATGGGAAGAGAAGATGAAGTGGCTTCAAGACACAGACAGAGGGACAGAAAACACTTGGTGACAGAGGGAAGGAGGTGCCAGAAGGAGGGACAGACTTACTTGTGACTAGAAAGTCAAGATGGTGGTTACCACGGGCAACAGTCAAAAGTGGGGATAAAGGATATGGTTTTGGAAGAATTTTAGGGGTGAGCTGAGTAACTTAGTGAGGATTTCTATCAGATATCCTGAAATCCAGTTCTAAAAAGTAAAGGGAAAGATGGGACCCATAGGAATTTGGAAGTCACCTCTAAATAATTTCTCTCTGAAGTAAAGTCTTCTTCTGCTTGACTGCCACAGCAGAATTCCACACACTCAGTGGCTTCAATAACACAGATTTCTTTCTCACAGTTCTGGAGGCTGGAAGTTCAAGATCAGGCACTGCAGGTCTGATTTCTCCCGTGGACTCTCCCTGTGGTTTGCAGATGGCGCCTTCGCTCTGTGTCTTCACATGGCCAATGCCACCACAGACACTGATGTCAGGCAGATGGGCCACTGCCATATTTCAGGGGGTATCTCTGATCTGAAGAACGTTTAATGCACTTCTCAATGTTAATAGCATTCTACACTCGCCCAGGGTCTGTTGTGGGCCAGCATGTGCCAGGCTGGGAATTAATTTAATCTCTGAATCTCATGATGGTAGGCATCATTATTCTTGCTTTATAGGTGGAGAGCTGCAGAGAAGTTAAGAATTCCCAAAGCCAAAGAGATAGGAGGGGACTGACCAAGCTTTCATATGAATGTGTCCGCTGTGTAAAGTTGCTTTTACATGCAGAAAAAAATCATCAGGAGGATGTTTCTTAGTCATTTCCCATGAGTCAGAATGGAGCCATTTCCAGCCCCACCTGAACAAATTGGAGTCTCTAGGTACAGAAGTTAGTGGCAAAGACAAGACACATTCCTGGGATGATTTTTCTAGCAAATTTGACCAGCTTTTTAACCAATCTGTGCATTTGCTTTGGTGTGTCTCCTTTGGGATGGGAGAATTGATGTTCCCTGTCCTCTGTGCATGTCCATGTTCCTTAATAAATTATCCTTGCTGACAGTCTGGGAGAGAACCTTTCATCATCCTGCATGGTTTGCTTAGGATAAAGCCACAGTTCACACAGCACACTGGAGAGAGGCAGGATTGACAGTCGCAGGTTTCAACACCATCGCCTGACTGAGAAGACCCCAGTGTTTATCTGCAGCTAAGACTTTGGCTCCAAACTCTGGAAACATAATCAGACTGGCTCTTTGACATTCATGCTTAGATATTTCACACTGTCTCAAATGTAACCTGTTCCAAATGGGACGTGGGATTCATTCTCTGTTAACATGATCCTTCTCACGCTTTCCCATATCAGCACTGGCACCACCATACATGGAGGAGACATAGAAGGGTTTTATCATGACTGAGATGACCAGAGTTATTTATTTACAGGTAGATCATCTTGGCGACAATCCAGGGTCAGGTTATCTACTGCTGAAAGGAGAGAAGTGGATTGGTAGCTATTAAGAAGATTAATCTGTAAAGCTTTCTGACTGATTGGATAACATTCTTTACAATAACAAAATATAATATACAAGAATGAGATAAAGAAATGCATTTATTATACAGCTTTATCCATATGAAATGGTCACTTATAGTTCAACAAGGGTTGAATCATGGCCATTGTATGATTTGCTTAATACATTATGGCACAATAGATAGGCATCTCTGTTTATGAAAAGTATTAAAATGCCTAGTTCAATAAAAATGTTCAAATCACTGTTACACCATCATTTCCTACTGGTATAAATAAGTACAAATCACAGAAAACTTTCTGGAAGGGATCATATCCAAAGTCTCAAAACAATAAAATTTCAGAGAATAATTTTACTTCAGAGAATAAGAAAATACCAGTGTCAAAGGAAATTCATTGACATGTTGTTTATAATAGGAAAAAAATGGAATTAGACAAAATATTCATTTAAAAGAGTCTTGAAGTAAATAAGTTTGTTTCATGAGATAGCACACAGCATAAAGCTGATGATAAAGAATTAAATTTAATGCATGAAAATATATATACAACATATTATTAAGGAAAGGGCAAGATATAAAATAGCATTATAAGACAATTCCATTTTATTAAGAAATTATGAGAATTTGTATCTAATTATTATAAAAATGCAGAAAAAAATTGCTAGTAAGAAGATACTCCTAAATTTTAACAGAAGCTCCATCTGGATGGTGGGATTTCAGAAGATATTTATGTGCATTTACTTTTTAGTATTTTCTAACAGTTTTGGGTATGTTTATATTATTTTTGTAACCAGAAAACAAAAACTACATCTAAGAGAAAAAAATCCAATTAGCTAAAAAAATAAATAAATAAATAAATATATATATATATATATATATATATATATATATATATATATATATGAATGATCACTTCTTATGGAAAATTGTAGTGGTTTGAAAAACTCTCCACCTTTAATATTAGTAATGACGAAACCTCCCAATACTGTTCATGATTAAACTTTTCAACATTACAAGGAGAAAGGAGGTCCCTCAGATGATATCCCAAGGGTGGTCAATGGGCAGAACCCAGGTTTGCATCTATACACAAAGCCTTTGGCCTAGAAGGTCTCAGTGGGTGTTTCATTTTTTGACAGACACACATTGCTCTGCAGGTTGGAAGCTCCACTGTTAAGTCTATCCCATGACACATTTGTCTTAAATTCTAGAGAAAAGGCATTTTCCTCTTCAACTGTTTCTGTTTTTCACATTCCTGACTTCTTGATTCCTATTCTTGAAGCATTGTGACCCTATGTACCTAACTTGGGATCTAAGTAGGTCTAGGAGTGTAAATAACTTGTTTGAATGTCAGATTTTTGTTTCAAATCGTCTTAGTGATTCTTATAACCAGCATTTTCTTTCTGAGATTCGAAGTCCTTTTTGTTGGTATGGCAGGTATGTATGGTGATATGGAGTTCAGTCTCCTAAGTAATGCCATCTAGGAAATATGAGTCCACATATAGAATTCAAGTGTTTTAATGGTTGCTGTATTCAAAAAGTAAAATAAATGGATGAAATTAGTTTTAATAGCACATTTAACTCAATATAGTATATAAAAATGCTAGTATTTCAACATGCAATCAATTATTGCACTAGTTTCTTTAGCTTTGCTTTATCCTGTTGTTACTTTCTTAAAATATACAAGTAAATACTTACAATTATGTATTCTTTCCTATTCTTAGATAAAAGGTGACATAGTAAAAGATTATTTGGCACCTGTTTTTTTCACATTATGTTTGTGGGATCACTCCATTGCAATATGTAGGTATATTTATTCATTTTTGTAGCTGCATAATCCTCCATTGTATAGATATTCCATTTTAACCAGTTTCTTCTTAATGGAATTTAAGTGTTTTTCAGTATTTTGCTATTATAAGCATTTTTCTGACAGCCTCGTACAAATTTAGTTTGTAATTTATTAAGTTATTTAAAAAGTTATTGGTATAACTTTTATGAGTTACTAAGTGAGGGATATGAAAGAAATTGAAATATGACTTTGAGTCTCAAACTGTTTATCAAGAGAAGGGATAAAATTATGACATTTACACTTTCATTTTGCAAGAATTCTTTTCATGGTTCCTCACCCTTCAGAAAGATCCTCAGTAAGGGGCTGGGGTTGTGGCTCAGTGGTAGAGCACTTGCCTAGCATGTGTGAAACACTGGGTTCTCAGCACCACATAAAAAATACATAAATAAAATAAAGATATTGTGTTCATCTACAACTAAAACAAACAAACTATATATATATATAAAACTTATATATATAACTTACTGAGGATCTTTCATATATATATATATATATATATATATATATATATATATATATATATATAAAAGATCCTCAATAAGTTGACATCACTACTTCTGGACAAACTTTGGGAGGATCAGCTGGCAGGTTCTGCCCAGACAGTCCAAGCTTAGTCCCTCCTTTGCCTTGAATGCACACACCACAGACGTACCATGCGATCACTTCCAAGGGACTGGGCACAAGTGGGTAAAGTCAAGTCGTTCTTCTGTAACCTGTGGTCATGTGAAAAAGAAAAAAATCTCATTTCCAAACAACAGCAGGCTGGCTTGCCTGGTGGCAGAGCATTTTATGGGCATATGAGGTAACGGTGCTGGGAGCTCAGGATGACATGTCAGTCACATTAGCATCTGGGACTTCCCAAGTCCGGCAAAGCCTCATGTTGGCTGTTATGGTTTGGATATGAAGTTTCCCCCAAAGTTCCTGTCCATGAAGGAATATTCAGAGCTAAAATGATTAGATTATGAGAACGAACACCCCAGCCCTCCACACTAGTTTGAATGGTCTGAAGAGGTGGTAACTCTAGACAGGTGGAGTGTGGATGGAGGACGTGGGTCACTGGGGGTTGCCCTGGAAGGGTGCATCTTCCCTGTGGCCCCTCCCCTCTGCCCCACCCCCCCGTTTCCTGGCTTGATGAATTGCTGAGTGGCTTTCCTCCCCTGGGCTCTTTCTCCGTTGCTGCCTCACCTTGGGTCCAGAGCAATGGTGTTGGCAGTCTGTGGACTGAGACCTCTGAAACCCTGAGTCCCAAATAAACTCTTCTTCCTCTAAGTTGTTCTGGTTGTGTGATTTGGTCACAGTGATGCAAAAGCTGACTAAAGCTGATCCATCATCACCACCACCCAGCACATTCCCCGTGGGGCCTGGGGAGGTACGCGTCCCCTCCCCTCTTCTTCTTAGGCTCTGCTGTGTCAGTCTCCTTCAGACAGGTGGGACAGCCTCTCACCCTTCATTTTCACTGCCAGACCTCGAATCCTGTACTCTGGGGCCATTTCTGCCATCTCGACCCACCCCAGCACTAGAAGGTTAATAAGAATAATAACTAAATTACAAGCAAAATTGTTCTCCAGATAGATGACAACTTTGTACTCAGCAGAAATGACCCTGGCTTAACGTATCCTAAACAGTAGCAGAGTCTCCATGGCATATCTTTCAAAACTGAAGAACGTTTCAGTATTTTCAAAATGTTACCATCACAAGTTGAGGACACTGGCAGGAGAAGTAATTTTGTGCCAAGTCTTTCTCTCTTATTGCCAAACCCATTAGAAGGCACTAACCTCCTTCCCAGAAGGCCACTCCCCTGCACACGGAGCAGTGGTCACTCTCAGCCAAGGACAGGAGAGTCCCCATCTGATTCATTTTTATGCTTAGGCTTTGAAGAGTAGGGAATTGTTATGATCCTGGAAAAGCCTTTTAGATGACTGCGTTTTAATTCTTGAGAACAATTTGGAATAAAGACATTAAGGAGGAGATTAACTAGCTTTACAATGCTTATCAGAGTTAAAAGTTGAAAGGAGTAGGCTATAAAAGCCATAGAAGCTGGAAGGCGGCCCACAAGCATGTACATTTTAAAAGTTATTCATTGACTCTTGGATAGGAGGGGCTTTTTCTTTTTTTAGTAACTACCCAGAAAGTCCGGAGCTCAGACTTAAAAATAAAGCTTCAGGCACATCCCAGCTCTTCCCAGCCCTCTGCTTGCAAAGCTAACATGGCCTTGAGCAGTCTTAATCCTGAACCTACCTGGGAAATCCCCTTCTTCCAACAGGGGCATAGTTCTGGCTGACTCTGGAGCCCAGCTGGTGCACGTGGATTGGGATCAAGAGGACAAGTTTGTGAATCAAGGTCAGCAGTCACTGGCTTCAAACCTTAAAATTCCCGACAGTGCTGCCATCCTTGAGAAAAATGTCTTTGGACTGATTATGGATCCCTCTTTCCCAACAGGGGCTCTAGGCAAAGGGAAACTTTTGCTGGAGGAAACAGAAGCATTGAAGACTCGTCTATGCCAAGGCTTCTGCTAGAATGAACTTATCCAGTAAGTATGCCCAAAGCCAAAGGCAGGTTTATCTGGTGTGTTGTCAAAATTTGGCTGGAAACAGGAGAAAACCATGTGTACCACCAAATTTCCTGGCTTCCCCAGGCACAGGGGCTCTTGAAGAGATGTTGTGATGGCCCTTTGTGAATGTGCCCAGTCTGGAAATGGACAAATGCTGTACAGAAGGTAGGGCATATGTGAGTTCTGCCCTGTGGTATCTGCAGAAAGTGGGCGATTTTAACAAAGCCATGGGAGGAAGCCTGCATGATGACAGTGCATGCCTTGAAATGGACTAAACGTGTGGAAAATTAATGGACAAGGGGGCTTTTGAAATTCTAATGTATAAGAAATTTCTGGAAGGACTGAGTTTTTGAGTCTTTAAAACTTCCCAAGCAGCTGAGTTCCTGGGAAAGGTCAGGGCCAAATATACCTTTTAACAGGTATATTCTCAAAAAAGACATGAACAGAATGGTTGAGGTCTTTGCTCAGTTGGATATCTGTGTGACACCTTCAGTATTCAGTCTTTGGATGATATTCCCCAACTCCTGAAGAATAAAGAGCGCCCTTCTCTTTTATCACGTATTGGCAGGAGGTGACAGTCTTCTGAAAACACCGGCTTTTGTCCTTTCCCAGGAAAGTCCACCTCTAGAACACTCAGAAGAGAAACCAGAAAATATGGATTTGGCAAAGAAATGGTAGCCCAACACCATCCTTTGGAAGCGATTAAAAGCAACCGGCCAACAACAAATCAATAAAAAGAGCCTATTTTATTTTATCTTATTTTTTTTTTCAAAAATACAGACATTACTCTTTATTACAACAAAATGCTTATCACAATATAAATGCACAGGAAATATTTGATTAGTGGTATCTTTAAAATTTAATTTAACTGTGGTAATAAAATTTAATCATAAACCTGGCAATATGACATAAAAATCTCAATTCTAATATTTGTATCTAATTATAAATAAAAGTGTGCTAAAAGGTTAAATAAGGGTGCATTGAATTAATATCTTATACTAAAATTTATAAACAATAAAAAGCATAATACAAGATTGATTATGTAAAAATTTACAGTATATCTATAAAATATAATATGCATAGAAAATGTCGGCTATATGTAAAATTAATTGAAGAGTTGATTACAAATCAGACTGAACAGAAGTAAAGAAACAAAAAGGAAATTCATCAAAATTATTAAGATAATTAACTGCATATTGAATTATAGGCAAGTTTATAGTCAAGATTGATAAAAAAAGAAAATCTAGAAAAGAGCCTATTTTATTAGTGATCTGATATATTTCAGTTTGTTTGTAAAATTTTGGGAAATCATAAGCATTTTCATTTGGGTAGAGTTTCTTCTCATGTTAAGATAAAAACCTTGTGCTTTCAGAAAACTTCAAAAATATTTGCATATGTTAGCTGTTAGACTTCTATGATTTTTATGTCAAATAAAGGCTATAAAAATTATATGTTATCATTATTTTAATTGTAATCCAAACCAGCAACATATTTGATCAGTTTTCTACTTGAAGTAGCTCTAAAAATGACACATGTTCTTACATGAACATGCTTCCCAGAAGAAAGTCACCTACCTCTATTTTCTTGGGTTTGCAGTAGTGAGGAAAGAGAGAGAGAGAGAGATGGTTTAAAATTTAATCATTACACATAATGTATTTCAAGGTGGGGCAATTTGGAAAGAACACTACTAGATGGTTATACTTTAACAAAATGTAAATATACCTACTTTAAGACTCAAAATCCAGACAAGCATGTACATTGCAATGTATCAAGGATTCTGTACTTTGACATATAGTGAGAGATATGCAGAGGTAAACTGATTGACTGCCTGCCTTATTTGCATTCTTCCTTCCTGCCCCTTGTCACACAAAGTGATCTCATTGCACAGCAATGATCTCTTCCTTCCAGCTCAGGTGGCTTTGTTAGTGTATACTTGCTTCACTGTCTCTATCCCTCAGAATTATAATGTCGCTGCCAGGAAACTTTTTGGGGGGTATAGTTCAAGCAAATAGACTTCCCCCCTCAAATTTTAAGTTTCATTTTTCTTAAATTATGTGAATTTAAATAGAGTTTCAATAGATTAGTACATACAACATTTTTTTTAAGTTTGTAAATCACATAAGCTCATTTTTGTTCCCCATGGGAGACACTGAGGGGCACAAGTCTGCCTTCGAAGACCAAGATGCTCACATGTCCCCTTCTGTCCTTTCAGACTGCTTAGTCAGCCTTTTCACTGTTGGGACCCAAAGACAATTAGAGGAAGAAAAGTTTATTTTGGGACTCAAGGTTTTAGAGAGCTCAGTCCATAGAAGGCTGACTCCATTCCTCAGGGCTCCAGGTGAGGTAGAGCATCATGGCAGAAGAGTGTGGTGGAGGAAGGCGGCTCAGGACATGGCACCAGGAAGGAGAGAGAGAGAGTGCTTCTCACCAGGACAAAATATATACCCCAAAGTCACACCCCCAGGGACCCACCTCCTCCAGCCACACCAGATCAACCTCCAGTTATCACCCAGTTAATCCCGTCAGGGGGAGGATAATTTACTGATTAGGTTAAGGTTCTCATAACCCAACATTTCACCTCTAAACTTTCTTGGATTGCCTCATACTTGCACTTTTGGGGGACACCTCACCTATAATCCATAATACAGGCTTGAGCTGGGAAGCATATTTATCTATTCTATAAAAATTCTACTTATTTATCTTCCTCTTTAGGCCAACTACAGTTGATGTTTGTATGAGGGGGGGCAGAGATAAATAAATAAATAGACCAGGTAGTAGAAGAAATAAACTCATAGCTGCCCTTGTAAATTTGTACACAGGTCCAGGGAGTGTGAAGGAGGAGCTGTCAAGTCTCCTGGCAGGGAAAGGAGTGTCATCTGGGGTCTGTTTAGGACAGATTGTCATGTTGTGTTTGGGAAAAATGGATAGTTGAGAAGAGTATTTCCAGTTAGAAGGATCAACATGGGTAAAGTCCCAGAGTTGAATCAAGGTAGCTTTCGTCATCTGTTTCTATTGCTATCACTGACTATCAAAGACCCAGTAATTTATAAAAAATAAAAGTTTAGTCTACTCACAGTTCTGGAGATCCAAGGTTGAGGGGAGACATCCATAGAAACTATTCTTGCTGATGGGGAATCTCTTCAGAGACCTGAGGATGTACCGGCCATCTCATGGCAAGAGAAATACATGAGAGATGGCCAAATTGGCTTTCGTAACAGACCCATTTTCATGATAATTCACTAACGTATTAGTCTATTCATCTATGAATGGATTAATCCATCCTTGAGAGGAGAACTCCCATGACCCAGTTACTTCCCAAAGGCGTCACCTCCAAATACCATTAATGTCTGACTTTGGTGGTTGAGTTTTCAACACATGATCCTGGGGGACATTCAAACCATAGCAGTGGCCTTCACCAAGATCAGATCATTTGATGAGTACTGTCATGTTATTGCACTTAGCAGTATATCATGCTGTCTTTCCTGGAGGGTTCACAGAGATCTCTTTCATTCTTTTTAATAGCACAAATGACATTGTGTGGATATGCCACAATTTGACTATCCCGTTCCCTATTGCTAGATACTTAGGTTATTTTCAGTTGTTATAAACAATTGCCCAATTGTTTCCTTAAGAAATATCCATGGATGGGAAATTGCTGGGGCAGAGTACCCACATGCTTAATGTATTTTGATGTATATCTTGCAGATTGGCCTCTAGGAAGCTCTACAAAGCTTGACCTCCCCCCATAGTACATGAAGTCCATTTCTTTGTATGCCTGCAACTCTGAGTATGTGAATCAATTTTATCTTTGCCAATCATTTCAGTGATTATTATTATTTTGCTTTTCTTTAAGTTTGTTTTTCTAAATTACTAGAGATTAAGTAAGTATTTTTCCCTATATTGATTGGATGTTTATGTTCTTCTTTTCAGAAGTAGCCATTTTGGACCTTTGCCTATTTTAAAATTAGAATGCTAGCTTTTTATTGTTTAATGGGAACATTTTGTCTGCCAGGTACACTGCTGATATTTTTCTCAATATGATAGTCATCTTTTAACTTTGTTTATAGAATCTTTCACTGTGCCTAAGTTTTAAATTTTTATGAAATCAATCCCAAAAGCATAGAAATAAAAAATGACTTTCTATTATGAAAGACTGAAAAAATGATTGTTTTTTTTTAACTCCTGGGATTCATGCTTTTTGAAATCTAACTTTGCTGCTTCTCCCATCAAGAGATAGCATCTATTTCCTTGCCTGTGACCTGCAAATGGCCAAGGGAATGTAGCAGAATTAACCATGTGTACCGTCTGCTGTCTTTTGAAACCTTACCTCTTCCATGTGAAAAACCCAGACTGGCCAGTCAAAGACAAGAGACATGAGGCCCAGTGGCTTCACTGATGGTATTGTCCAGTACAGTGGACATGGAAGACATGACAGGTAGAGTCGTCTGGACACTCAGCTCCCAGACCACCCACCAGCTGACCGCAGTCTTGCAAGCCCACTCAAGGTCAGCCACTCTTGGCCCAGATCAGCAGAACTGACCAGATGGCCCATTGGCTGTTTGTGAGCTCTAACTAATGATTGCATCTTTAAAGTCCTAAGCTTTTGGGGCAGTTTGCCATGAGGCAGTAAATAACTGATTCACTTACATTGTATTCTAACAAACACTAGGTTTTATTTGGGGATTTTAAAAAGTTTTTAACTCTTTAATCCACATGAATTTATTTTTGTACTTAGTATAAGGTGTGTGGGGTCTTTATTTATTTTCTGTAAATGCACGACTAATTTTCTCAAGAGTGTTGATGTTTCTTTTGCCACTGATTTGAAATGTCATGGTTTCATTAAGTTCCCATGTACATGAGGGTTGGCTTTTGGGCTCTCTGATATGTTTATTTTCTTATTTCTGTGCAATAACACAATGTTTAATTAGTTAATATTGGAGTATGACTTGATATCTGGTGTTCTCCTAGGGAATAATGTAGCAAGCCAATTATTAGAAGTCAAGGGGAGGGATATTGACTTAAATGCTTTTGTATTTCTCACAGAATCCAGCTAAGTTTTGCAGACATGGTGGTGATTGCCAAATGTTTTTTGAAAGAGGAAACATTTGGTCTCCTAGTATAGTGGAGGCTGTGGCATTCACTGTACTAGAAATCAATCTGGGAGCCTTGTAGCATACAAGGATGACATTTGTAGCCAGTATCTCTAGTTATCTGCACAATAACTCGATTAAGTACAAGGTAAGCAACTGAGAAAGGATGCATCATCATACAATGGAGAAGAAGAAAGAGGAGGAAAGAAGGGAAGAAGAGGAGGAGGAGGATAAAGTTTCCATTTACTCTGTGTTGACTCTGTTAGTTTACTTTATTTGACTCATAACAGATCTAAGAGGTTTTACATCCTTTTTGTCAGAGCAGGAGATTCAAGAGAAGTGAAAAGTCAAATTGTAAGTGAAAGAGTCAAAATTCTAACTGTGTGTGAACACAGAAACACACACACACACACACACACACACACACCGCTGAAAGAAAACACTCCTAAAGGTTAGGGGTGATTTTCTCTGCATAGGGCCAACATGGAAATCTCCATTTTCTTCCTGGTACTTTAGCTGTCATCCAGATTTCCTGCGTGGCATTTTCTCTCACACTTAGCCTGGCTCTATCAATGTTACTAGGCTGATGGAGAACAAGACCCTGTGTGAGAAACCTCCATTCTGCCATGTTATTTCTCAGCTGCAGTTGGGAAACAAGATCCTCAGGTGATCTGTGGGCACATTAAATTTTGTGAAGGATTGGTTGAATCACACAGAAGAAAAATGTAGATAATATATTTTAGTAAGAGTCTTGAGGCTTTGTGCTTTAGAGTGTCTACTGAGAAATACTGTACACCATCCACAATTTCCCACTTTGATTTTCTTCCCTAGAACATGAAAATTTCTTATGGAGATCTTTCATTTTTCATTTTACAAAATTATCTTGGCAGATTGCATGCTCACCAGGGAAAGACATGGTATTTCCAATCTGATCATTTCCTTAACTCTATGTTTTACATGTCAGGTTCGTGTGCTCACTAAATTCACACATTTTATTTGTTTGCTTAAGGCAAGATCTAGGAGTCATGTTCCAGACAAATATCTCATCTTGTCTGATGAAATCAAGAAGATGCTTCTGGTATCAAAGGGAAGGAGCGTCTCAAGTACAGGGAGGGACTCGAATCCTTGGCCAGCCAGGAAGAGCAAGAGCATGTGTTTTGGTCATGATCCCTCCTGTTGGCTGAGCTGAGTTGTGGGACTGTTTAGGATACAGCACTGGATCTTCATGGCAAGACACTGCTGTGGTCCCCAAAGGAGGCTGGCAGTGGAATCTAGGACACACCCACAGGGCATAAAAACACAGTTATGAAAAAATGATTACCATTAAAATCCTGAACTGTAAGGGCTTATGTGCTGGCA